AAAAAAAACAAAAAAACGGTCAGGGCACACTGGCTCATGCTTGTAATCTCGGCACTTTGGGAGGATGAGGTGGGAGGATCACATGGGGTCAGCAGTCAGAGAGCAGTCTAGGCAATACAGCCAGACCTCATCTCTATTAAAAATAAAAATAAAAATTAGTGGATGTGGTGGCAGAAGCCTCTAGTCCCAGTTACTCCAGAGGCTGAGGAAGGAGGATTGCTTGAGCCTGGGAGATTGAGGCTACAGTGAGCTATGATCGCACTACTGCACTCCAGCCTGGGTGACAGAGTAAGACTGTCTCTGAAAACAAAACAGAACAAAACAAAACAAGATAATTTATAAGGAGGGTCTTGCAAGAACAGCCTATGGTGCAAGTAAGTATTGAGAACATCAATGATGGGAGGAATTCCTAGCACAGGTAGTCATGAATAAATGTCACCTAGAGCAAGGAAGCAGAACCTGAGCATACCAGTCTCCGATCCGGAAAAATTACTCAACAGCCAGAGGGCAAGCAAGGTGAGATGCATTATGGTGCATGTAAAGCTCCTTCTCTGGGAGCTTGCAGCAAAGCAGGTGTTGGGGCTGCTCAAGGAGAAGAGAGGGCAGTGCACACACCTCAGTCCTACCTACCACAGAACCTACCCAGGGAACTAAGAGAGGAACCTGTGCCCAGGCTCCTGAAGTGAGGAAAACAGTCTTGCCATGGGGAAAAAGATGGGGACGGGCAGACACTAGCTGAGGTCACAGAGAAGAGTGTGAGTGCCTTACCTAGAGAAGATATAAGTGCCAGGTTCTCCAGCATCACGTCATGATAAAGGCATCTCTGAGCCTCACTAAGGAGACTCCATTCCTCCTGGGAAAAGTTCACAGCCACATCTTCAAAGGTCACAGTGCCCTGCCATGATGACGATAGATGAAACCACAAACACTCCATATGCTCATCCACTTATCCACCTTTGCCCTTCCTCCTCCCAAGGTCCTAAACTACAAGGAGAAACTAGGCCCACTGGTGTCACTATCTTCTCATGGGCTCACATGGCCATGGTGTACAGCCATCAGCAACAAGAAGTGGGGGAACCAATAGGTTTCTATGTTTTGGTGCTGACATAAAGCAGTCCATACCTTCTGAGAGCCAATGCCCCTGCTAGAGATGAAGTAATGTAAATCCCAATGAAGCATCCTCGGTCTATCAGACATACTCCTTCTCTAAATAC